TCCAAATGTCACCAAAAAATGTACATAAAGATTTAAAAATTTTATAAGGCTAAAAAAACCACAAAGTCAAGATACAAACATTATGCTGGGAAAAAAATATTAGCCAAATATAGGCCAAAGAATTAATTCCTTCAATATGCAAAGAACTTTTATAAATCAATAAAAAAGAACCAATAATTTAAAAGAAATGTAGACCAAAAGGATATGAACAAGTAGTTCATAGAAATGTGAAATACAAATGACCAATAAGAAATGAAAGGGGTTGGTGCCTGGGTGGCTCAGTCGGTTGAGCCTCTGCCTTCAGCTCAGGTCATGATCCCGGGGTCCTGGGATCGAGTCTCTCGTTGGACTCCCTGCTCAGCAGGGAGCCTGCTTCTCCCTCTGCCTGCCAGTCCCCCTGCTTGTGCACTCTCTCTCTGACAAATAAATAAATAAAATCTTTAAAAAAAAAAAAAAAGACAAAAAATTGTTAGCTACACTTCACCCTTAACTCTTCATTTGATTTTGGGGATTAGGTCTCAAGTCTACAAAAAATATTGCTGGAATTTTGATTAATAGATTAAAAATTTAGAGGCCATCTTTATAATATTGTGTCTTCCCATCCACGAAAATGATATAGCTTTTCTTTTGGGGGGCAGGACCTTATTTTATACCTTTCTATGGAGTTTTATAATTTCTTCTATAAAGATCCTGCATGTCTCTGTTAGATTTGTTTCTAAACACTTCATAGATTTTGTGAATATTATGGCATTTCTTTTTTTTAAATTGCAATATAGTTGACAGACAATATTAACTTTAGGTGTATAGCATAGTGATTTGACAATTATTTACATGATAAAATGCTCACCACAGTAAGTGTAGTTACATCTGCTAAATGGTATCTCTTTTTAAAAATCCATGTCCTGGCGTGTGGTGGGGTAGAGGGGCAGAAAAACCATGTCGTAGTTATTTTTCCTAGGACACAACTGATTTTTTCATATGGCTGATGTATTAAAAAACTCATGGATTCTCTTACTTTCTAGTTGTAGTAGAATTTCACTTGGATTTCCTCTGTGGACAGTCCAATCATTGGCATGTCATGAAAATTTAATTTCTTTTTTTCCCCCCAGCCCTATATAGTTTTTATTTCTTGTTTTGCTGTGCTAGCAAAGACATATATATATATGTAGTGGGATTTACAATAGAGGTGGATAACAGGTATCCTTCCTTTATATTTCTTCTTAGAGGAAACTTTCTAATTTTTTACCATAAAATGTACTGTTTGCTGTAGATTTTTGATAGATACCCTTTTCAGGTTACGGAATTCTGTTCTGCTGCTACTGTGCTAATTTTTTAAATGCATGAACACTGAATTTTGTTGAATGACAATTTTCTTAGCTATGAAAGATCATACCATTTTTCTTTAATGTGATAATACAGCAATATATGTCAGTAGATTGTCTAATGTTAACCCATTCTTACATTGCTGGGATAAACCCATCTTATTCTTTGTATTATTTTGTAAAGGCATTGCTAGATTTGTTTGCTAATATTTTATTTAAGATTTTTTCTTCTGTGTTCATGGGTGAGAATGGCCCCTAACTTTCCTTCCTCATAATGTTCTTTTGCAGCTTTGATTTTAACATTATACTATTCAGGGTGCTTGGGTGGCTAAATCGGTTAAGCGTCTGCCTTTGGCTCAGGTCATGGTCCCAGGGTCATGGGATGGAATCTCACGTCAGGCTCCCTACTCAGGGGGCAGTCTGCTTCTACCTCTGAAACTAATAATACATTATGTGTTAATTAATTGAATTTAAATAAAAAAAATTTAACCTTAATAAAGTTATACTATTTACATACAATAACTGGGGCATGTTTCCCTTTTTGTATTCTCCGTATAATATTGAGACTATCTATACTTTGAATGTCTAATCGAACTCTGCTATAAAACTCTACACATCATGTGGGGTTTGGAGGATAGGTTTTCACTACTTACTTCATGTCCTCAGTGATTCTAAGTTGATTCAGGTTTTCAGCTTCATTTTGAGTTGGTTTCTATAGATTATATTTCCCAGGAAATTGTCCATTCAATCCAAGCTGAAAAATGAAAAGTACAAAACTGGCCTTGGTTTCTTCTATAACTCCCTAAAATCTTTAATGTGTCTGTAATTATGTACCCTTTTTCATTCCCAATATAATCAATCTGTGCCTTCTTTTTCCTTGATTAGTCATGCCAGGGGTGTCTTTTCTTGGACTTGGAAAAAAAAGCTGCTCTTGGTTTAACTGATCCTCTCAATTTATATAAATTTTTAAATTTATTCTCTCAACTTTAATATTTTCTTCCCTCTATTTTCATTGATTTTACTTTGTTTCTCTCTAATTTTCTGAGTAAGATACTTAGTTCATTTTTAGTCTTCTGCTTTTCTATATAAACATTTGAGGCTATAAAAATTTTCCTCTAAGAATGATTTTAGTTGCTCCCCAGATTTATTTTTTTATCGAGATATAATTCACTTACCATAAAGTTCACCCTTTTAAAGTGTATAATTCAGTAGTTTTCAGTATATTTACAAGGTTGTACAACTATCACCAGTATCTAATTCCAGAACATTTTAATCATCCCAAAAAGAAACCAGTTAGCAATCACTATACATTTCTCTCTCACTCGAGCCCCTGGCAACCACTGATCTAGTTCATGTCTCCATAGACTTTATAGAAGTGGGATCATACAATATGTGGCCTTTTATGTTTCTCCTTCTTTCACATAGCATATTGTTTTCAAGGTTCGCCCATGTGAGGGGCGCCTGGATGGCTCAGTCGGTTAAGCGTCTGCCTTTAGGTGAGGTCATGATCCCAGGGTCCTGGGACCGAGCCCTGCATCAGGCTCCCTGCTCAGCAGAGAGCCTGCTTCTCTCTCTGCCTGCCGCTCCCCCTGCTTGTGCGCTCACTCTCTGTCAAATAAATAAAATCTTTTTTTTTTTTTTATTTGACGGAGAGAGACACAGCAAGAGAGGGAACACAAGCAGGGGGAGTGGGAGAGGGAGAAGCAGGCATCCAGCTGAGCAGGGAGCCGATACGGGGCTCGATCCCAGGACCCTGGGATCATGACCTGAGCTGAAGGCAGACGCTTAACGACTGAGCCACCCAGGTGCCCCAATAAATAAAATCTTAAAAAAAAAAAAAAGGTTCGCCCATATGGTAACATGTGCCCGTACTTAATACATTGCTTTTTGTGGCTGAATAATATTCAGTTGTATGGATACACCATATTTTACTTATCCATTCATCAGTCGATATTTTTATTGTCTTACACGTCTTGCTTATTATGAATAATGCTGCTCTGAACATAAGTATACAAGTTTTTGTGTCAACATATGTGCTCAATTCTCTTGACTATGTATCTAGTAGAATTCCTGGGTCATATGGTTACTGCCCATCCCAGCAACAACACAGGAAGATTCCTATTTCTCCGCATCCTCTCCAAGACTTATTATCCATCACTTTTATTGTAGCCATACTAGTGAGTATGGTGATCTCATTATAGTTTTGATTTATATTTCTCTAATGACTAATGATGTGGAGCATCTTTTCATATGCTTATTGGCCATTGGTATATCTTTTTGGATAGTGTCCTTTGAAGCACAAATGTTTTTAATTCTGATGAAATCAAATTTATTTTTTTCTTTTTTTGTGCTCTAGATGTCATTTTCTTTCTTTTCGGGGGAGGGTCTCTACCACCATTTTATTTTATTTTAAAATGATTAAAAACTAAAAGAGGAGAAAAATATCAAGAGTGCATCCTCTGTAGTAAGGCTAAC